TCTTGTACCATCCTGTGGTGGTTAAGTTTGTGTGTAACCTTGGCTAGGCCTGGTTGAGTGGCTGGGCAGCTGGATGTAGTATTCCCCATGATAAGACGTGGAATCTACTGTGAGCAGCTGAGTAGCTGCTTTTGGGTATGTGGTCTGCTTCCCGTATATAAGAAACAGCTTTGGGAATGGTCTCTAGTTTATGGCACGCTTGAACCCTGCATGTAGCCATGTCATTGTTCAGCAACCTGGCATGCTTTGCCGACCTTGGGACTTTCAGTGGACTTAAAGGCCTGCTGTGTAGTTTGGTAACATCGGGACAGTGCCATTTTATTTGTCGACCTTGGGTTTGTCAGCCTCAGCAGACAGTAGCTGCCTGAGTGAAGAGATGCCTCTTGCTTCAGTGGGCCAGGAGCAAGAGGCAGAGCTGAAGCCCAAGGTCAAAGGGCTTTCACCCAGCCCCTAAAGCCTGGCACTTTGAACTCGGACTTCTAACCTCCTGAACTGTAAGAGAATAAGCTCCTGTTTGTTAAGTCCATCCCATTTGTTCTATATTCTTGTCAGAGCAGCACTAAGTGACCAGAACACCTTCCATTGCCATCTTCAGGGCTTTCTGCTCAAACTGAGCATGTACAAATCAATCAGGCATACACAGATGATAAAGACCCTGGAACTGGCTTTTGGGGCACATCAGTCAGCACCATGGTTCCTCCCTAGAAAAGCCCACCAAAACCCCTATCCATGAAAACCTCAGCCTCCTTCGTTTGTGGAGCCATCTTGGCGACACAGGTCTGGATGAGCTCCTTTACTTGGCCAACCAAATAAAGCTTCCTCTTTGGCTTTCACTGACTCTGAGTCTCTTTAGTCCTGCCTGGAGAGACCTAGCAGTCTCTGGTAATGCTGAAGCTGTAGTCTGGTCTGCATCAGTAAGTGCTTAAAGTCATCTTCTCTTTCAACAAGCAAGATTGTGTCATCTGCATATCACAGTTTGTTAAGGAGCCTTTTCCCAATCCTGATACCGTGTTGTTCTTCATATAGTCCAGATTTTTGGATTATTTGCTCAGCATACAGATTGAGTATATGTGGTAAAAGGATACAACCCTGTTGCACATCTTTCCTGATTTTATTTTATTTTTAAATTCAGGTTGTAACTTTCTATGCTTTCTTTTATTGTGCTTTACACACAAATTTACAGAGCAGAATTTGTTTTACATTCAACAGTTTGTGTACATTTGATTTCACTCCCCAATTATCATCCGCAACCCTAACCCACTCTTCTCCTCTCCCTTCCCAGAGAGCCTCCCATCCTTGTGCCCTTCTTAGTTATGCACTAAGAAGATATACTTCTGTGTATCCA